GCCTCGGCCCATCGATCCAGCCTGTGGATGAGGAGCTATAAGTAGTTTCATCACCTACATTTTTATGACTCTTTGTCAGATTTTGTGATCTTACAATTTGTCTTTGCGTGTTTTCAAGTGTGTACTTGCACCATGAGTGCACTGAAGATCCACAGAAAGATTAGATACAGGAAGAGATGACAACTGCCCAAGAACTAGGAGAAATAGCTCTTTCTTCCAAATATCTAAAAAGTAAAGTATTCTTCAGTGCTCTTCTCACATAAAACAACCCCATCAACAGTCAGAAATATGGAATATAGAAATTTCTCCTTCAATTTTATGAATGCCACATGTCCAGAAAGCATAATACTTTTGAAGCTATAGGGATCTCTCCTGTGCTTAATAGAAGGTTGGCAACCATAAAGAGTTGCACTTTCTTTGTATATGCATCACATTTATTTCTAATGGGAACCTGCTACTTATGCCGCACAAATCAAACAATGTCCTCACCGTTTGTTTCTGTTTTCCTGTAATTCTTGCCAATAATAGGATTAATTTAGTGTTCAAAGAAAATTATATACAAAGGTCTTACCTCCTGCATACTTTTTACCAGTTCTTCGTACTTATTCTCTTCACTTTTTAAGTTTTGCTTCTTGAGATCAAGGGCACTTTGTGCTTTAGTATGAACTCTCTGAATTTCTGAAAGAGCATCTTCCAGTGAACGGAGTGTACCACCAGCTTCCTACAATCAGAAATAAAGGAAGCTTAATTTAGCTTAAGAAACTGATACAGTATTTGTAATATTTCATCTTCTGTTCACAGCTATATGTAGAAGAAGAGATAAATATCTGATCAAACAGGCAAATCCAAACAGGTCAGAACATCTCTTACCTCTGAAAATCAAACTAACTTGAAGCCACTACTGAAGCCCCACATCATCCCATATCATGGGACACAATCCCTGAGCAAAAGCTGCATTTAGGCATTCAAAGACCCTATGGGCCATCCTGTATCTAACCAAATTTACTGCCCCCAAAACTGAGGTCAGTACGGATTTTTGTTGAACAAGAGTTTCCTACTTGAAGTGTATTTCTTTCGAGACATCAACAAAAAGGGAGAAAAAAAATCTCTGGCAAAACTTATCACTGAATGCAGAGTGGAAACATGAGGGCAAACAGTTTCTATTCTTCAGTTATTACTCTTTTACAGAAATTGGAAGTAAAGCATTTCAGACAAATGAAAACTTTAAATGGATGTCTTTTAGACAATGGCCAAGAATGACAATGAGCAGTGTATAATCTAAACAATCTACCAGAAGAAGATAAAAATTCAAGGGTACGTTATCTGTAAAAACAATTCTCTTCTCATATAACTCTTTGTATTCAGAAATTCAGATGAGCACGACTCTGTTCTCACTTACCTTATCCCTTTCCTTTTCCATCTCCGCTATTTCTTCATTAAGTTGTTTCACCTTCTTTTCACTTTCAGCCATTGATTCCCGAAGCTTCTCTACATTAGCCTGCATTTCCTTTAATACTTCAGTGGAGGATACCTTTGTCTCTTCAGCCAAAACAAACTGATAAGCTATATAGAGTCGGCTTAAATGTTCTACTGCTCGTATTATTTTTTGGTATTCTAGATAGGATGCTCGTTCCTGAAAATACACCAATCAAAAAAACCTCTAAAATTTGATGGAAAAATAGTATCTTCCAATCCTCTAAGCATTTCTACTAACATTATTATTTGTAGACAACAGGAAAGATTCTCCACGTTAAGTAATACATTCGATATTCTACATTGCAGGCCTGCTTACGAAAATCTTAGGTAAAACAATACTTGCACAACTGATTATACAGCAGAAATATCACTTGACACAAGTTTTTTTAAGAACGAAGATATGTTTTTATCTTCCATTTTTATCTAGTTCTCTTGTTTTCTTCCTTCTCCCTACATTCCCCTTTAAGATTTCCTGGAAGTCCTGAATGTCTTACATTTTCTGTATTTGGACAGAAGATAAAATTTATCTCTCTTAAAAGGTTCTACAAAGCTTGAAAACATGCTGTTGTTTTAGCCATCACATACTGGTTCAGGGTAGCTGAAAGTATTTTTTCAGTACTTTAAGGGTCTTACCACTCCTCTAATTTTTCCATACCTCTTTCAATTTCTGTAAAGTTGGGGTGATCTCCTCATTTAAGACCTGAATCACAAAACAGAACATTTATATTCAGATTTTTAAAACTCTTATGTGTCTAAGCATGAATACCTAGTTCCAGGTGCAGAAATGAAATATTCAACAAGTTAAAATCACACTACACTAGTTATTCAGTTATCTTTAACAAATACGAAAGAAAGTACACTTTCCAACATGTAGTACCGTTTGAATGTCTTTCAGTTTGGCTTCCTTCTTCTCTATGGTTTTCTGAACAGCTATTTTCTTGCATTCATACATCCTAGTACCAGCTGCTTCTTCAATCATAGCTAAAATCTAAAATAAAGCAATGCAACAGAAACTTAATGTTTTTTCTTATGTTAGATAGGTTTAGCTCAGAACTGAGCTGAACATCTCATGTCCCTCCAATACCCTTTTTTTTTTGTGTCCCCCCTCCAAAATACTGATTCTTGTCATTGACAACAAATCAGTAAAACTTTGGACAAAAAACTCTCAGAACTTTCTTACCTCTGGTGGCTTCATATTTAGAACTTTTGTAATTCGCCCCTGGTGACAGAAAGATAAAACAAGAATGGTGGTTGTGTACCATGTAATAGTAAAAAAAAAAAAAAACCAAAACCCCAAACCCAGAACACCCCACTCATTTTTATACGTTATATCACAAGCTCAAACATGTTTTTTTTTTTTCTATAAGGATAATCTGGTTTACTCAATTTTTTTGTTCTTGAAAGTTCAAACAAGTCACTTCTTCAGGCAGCAAGCTTGAAATGGTCCTTGTATCTTATCTATTGATCTTAGGCTCGTCCTCCACATTCCTGATTACATCTTAAAGGAGTAATATGCGTATTTTGTTTAGAGTCTTACTGAGTTGCTGATGTTGAATAAGCTCCTAATCACAAACTGGCTTTTTGGAGATTTAGCTCATATGTAACTAGGGAAAAGCAGAATAAGTGCAAAACTGCCCCTCCTCCTCTCTCCCCCTGGCAAGTTGGGACAGTTCCATTTGAAACAGTAAATCCTGCTCTGTTTTATTATTCCTTGCAAATATTTCAGGGATTTGTCTAGTCCCTGTGTTGATGTTTATAAGGGTCTTTTCAACTGGTCAGCTCTTCGTTAATTGTGATTTAAGATGGCAGGTATATCAACTTCATTCAAAATATTGTCTAACAAGGAACACACAGAATAGAAAAGAAAATTTCTGCATTTTTAGCATAATAATAAAAGCAACACCTATTTGTTAAAGAGACAAAACAGAAAATAAAACTGGAATATGTTTTAGAAAAAGCTTGCTACATGAGGGCTACATAAGGTGTTGTGCTACAAGACGTGGTTTAGGGTCAAACTAGGCTGTACTGGAAATCTTAACTACTTAACAGACATTTGATTTTTACTTGGTAAGAAGTTGCTTTTTTCTGATTAGGAGATTAAATGTTCTTCCACTATCTATCCTGCCTGAAATTTAGTGCAATTTCTATTCTTTCTGGATTTTATAAAGATGCACACAACACCTGCATAATGAGGAAGTGAGGGTTATTGACATTGAGTCCAATGGAGCAGAAGAGATCCTGCACGCGAGTGTTGGTAGCATTCACACCATTGATAAGATACTTATTTCTACCTCCAATGACAACCTGGAGAAGGAAAAGAAATGCAAGAAACTTTAAGTGATTTAAAAATGACTTGACATTATGAGAATATAAACTGTAATAAAGAAAAGAAATCTGAGCAAATCCTATATATTATATCTTTGCATACATATTTATATGCATACTACACAGAACATCAAAACATAGCTTGTTGGACTCAAGAGACATTTAAAATATCTCACAAAAACTTAAGAAAGATCAGTCATTGAAGGCAATATTGACAAAAAAATCTCCGCACTCCACAAGTTTTCACTTTTTTTTTTTTTTTTTGTTTTAAAACTTGGGAGACATCTTCATCAGAAAGATAAACGTCCCTTTGCTCTTGGAGACCAAATCTAACACATTGTTCAGATATTAAGAGGAACTTATGAAAGCAGAAGAAAAAGCCACAAAGTAAAAAATTGTAACTTGCTTTAGGAACATTGTTTCATTAAGTTTCTGCACAAGTCCATAGAAAATGTTATTGATATAATACATTTAACAATATTAAACTAGTTTCCCAAGCGATTCCAATTTTTTTATCTAGTACACTGGATCTACTTCTACAGTTTGTCTTATAACTGCACTGTAGAAGAATTGCCTCAATTGCAAAAACTTTAAAAATTACCTTTTTTTCCCTTGAAAAGTCACTCTGTTGAACATGGTGAAAATGTATAAAGGTTACTAAGCAATATTAAAGACTCACCTGCCTAGTGATGGTGATCTCATCATTAGCTTCAAACCCCAGTGGACTTAGTTTCTTGTCAGAGTTATCAAAGGTAACAGACACAGTTGCTTTAGTAATTCCAGCTTGCCCATTTTTATAAACTAGGTCTTGTAAGTTGGAAGCTCGCACCTAAATCCATGGAACAGATGAATTTCTTTCAAAATTATATTTATTACACAGCTTCAGTGCACTATTGTAGGTTTTGGAGAAATGAATGAAGAAAATGCAGATCTAGCTGCAGATTTAAGAGTTCATGTGAGAGACTGACATATGGGAGCTGCAAGGTGCTAGCATTGTAAAACCACAGGCAGAGTGTGCCAGTCTAGTTTTAGTGAGCCAGCTGACTGTTTTCGCATGAGACTCCTGACAAACTGAATAGATGTTTTAAAAAAAAAAAAAAAGCCAGATGACTAGTTCAGTTTACTTAAAGAGCATTTGTTATTCATAATGCAGTTCACAGGGAAATGAATCAGAAAGTGTTCCTTGGAGGTCTGCTGGATTTGTCTACAATTACTGGGGGGGGCGGGGGATGGAATAAAAAAAAAAAAAAATCACCTGAAGGCAGAGATTCAAATTTATCTCAGAGCACACAATTTTTTTTTTTAATGAGAGTAAAGCAGATACATCATCTTTTAAACAGCGGGCATTGTATGAAAAACAGCTTTTTATTTTCTTCTGATGAACCAGTTGGCCAAATTTTAAGATCCAACCCAGAAGTGAAGTTTATTACAAATAAACAAGTTAGTGCGTTTAGCTGCAAAAGATCTTCAGCTTGAGGCTGCTACCTTTTAAGCGTATATTTTTAGTCTAATGTTCTAAATGACATGCTTTGAGCTACTGTAATATATTGATGAAATTGTAATTTAGTCTTAATGTAAGAATAAGCAAGAATGACAGAGACCCAGTTTTATGTAATGAAAAACTCAAATAAATAAAACTATTTTTTTTGATAGAAGCACCACTTCAGGTCTTCCATCGCAGATTACTGAAGAGAGTAATATGAAATGTTGCTGACAAAAGAAAGACCTTTCTTAAATACACCCTCTCTCTTTACCTGTGACAGATTGGTGATTCCCAACAAGAAACAGATTGAGTCCAAGATATTGGACTTTCCACTACCATTCAAGCCAGTAATGGCATTGAATAATGGGTCAAAGTCAGGAACCTCCGTCCTCTGAGCATAGGATTTAAATCCTTCAAGAACAATTGACTTGATGTACATCTTCTCTATGTTCCTAAGGGACCAGGCAAAGTATTTCACCGAAGAGTATGAAGAAAGGTATCTGGATTACAATCCTACAGATTTCAAAGAAAAAAAGAAAAAAAAAGAAGCAAACGAATCATACTGCATGCCAAACAAACAGCTAAATGTGTGAGAAGATGTAAAGAACACATGCCTTTTACAACAAAAAGATTATGCATCTGTAAACGGAAAATTCCAAGCAGACCCCAGATCCAGGAAGCATCCCAACAGTAACCTGTACTTCAACATTTTTAAGCGACGTGACTTTACACAACGTTCATCACGACACTTGTATGAAGACTGTGGCATAACCCCGGTTTCTCACAAAGCTAGCCTTTAGTCCATCAGCCAACGAAGGAAACGGAAAGGCTCGGACCTTTCAGAACCCAGCAGAAGGGGAGCCTGCCTTACCAGCCTTCAGGACTGCTACCTGCTCAGCCCCACCACACTGGAGGGCTGAAGCCCAGGAAAACGACAGCTTGGGCTCCGAGATCCTGCCCCTGCCGCCGCCATGGCGCCTGCCCCCATGTTCTCGCCGCGGCTCCCCACAGTCCCGCGGGTGCCCCTGCCAAGCGAGCCCTCGCTAGCCTGACGCCGGAATCAGCCCCGCGCACCCCCCCCCAACCCCCGGTGCC